GCAAGCCCTAATCGCTGCTGGCTCTTGCAGAGTTTTGCCAAAGGGAGCGAGATGTGCCTCCCTGCCTGCCCACTGAGATGTGGCAGCAGGTGAAACCTGCTCCTTCATTGTCTCCTGGCCTTACGCTGCCTGGCAGGAAGCAGAGGAGAGAGCATTCCTCCTGAAGAGGCCTCCGTGGGGAGCAGTGGAGCCACAGGGCTGGGGCCCTTGGCTAAACTCTCCCTTTCTGCCCAGGGCTGGGCACCATGCTTCCTTTGCCTTCTGTCTCTGCCAGTGCAGCATTTGAAGGCTGCAAGAGCCTGGTTTGCCTTTCCTCTTGTGTCCCCAGACACACAGATCTCCCTGGATAGACAGACAGATGGGCACAACCCCTGCTCTATGCCTTGGACAGAGGGAGGGACAGCCCTGCCACCTTTCTGTAGCTGAATACTCAGGCCAGACTGGGTGTAAACCAACTTGAACAACGCCCTATTTGCAATGCTGCCAGTGGTGAATGGAGAATGGGGAGTCACGCTGCTTTTGGTGTTGAATAATGCTGAAATGAGCCTGACTCATCAATTCTGAAGTTAAACACCCCGATGGTGAGGTGGAGATGTGGTAGAACTGGTAAAGCGCCAAATAAGGGAACCCACAAGTGATACTACTGATAACATAGCTAAAGCTGCTGAGCTGACACAGCTGGCCTGGAGACATCTGGCTGCCAGTCAGTCACTTTATGCTGTAAAAACCCAGTCCCACTTTTTAACAGCAGGGTCCTTGAACATACCCCTTTTGGAGTGTGTGTGTGTGGAGTTTCCTCCCTGGAATGGGGACGCCCCTCAAGGCTACTCCTGGAGTCTGAGCAAAAGAGATTTGGCCGACAATCACTGGTATGGGTGGGTAGCATCAGACTCTACGTCACAATTGGTTTTGCTGGCTTTAATATAGCTTTAAAATAGTGGCATTATACTATACTAGTAGGTATAGCTTCTATACTGTGTAGCTAAATGAAGATATTTTTATCTAATCATAATAAATAATTTATTTTTATAAAAATATATCTGGTTTGCCATCCTTAATCCTGTGGGACTAAGCTGTACAAGGTTTCAATTCCACCTCTATAATCCTTTAGACATAAACTGTTGACAGAGTCTGGGGCTAAGACTTGATCTGTACCCAGACTCCTCTCTGAGGAGGAGTTTAGTGTGCAAGGGAGTCCTTTCTGCACCTTGTGACTCAAAGGGAGGGTGTCTTCAATAAGCTTTGCCTGAAGCTCCCATTCTGCCTGTGATGCTCTCCCAGACAGACGGTCTCGCCACCCACCCCAAACAGACAGCTCTGCCCCCACCACGTCCCAGGGCAGGAGCAAACGCAGGTGGCACCGAGGTGCTGGTGGGCGCCTTGCAGGGGTGACAGCAGGATCTGCTTGTTGGTAGGTGTTATAGTGTGGTAGAAGCCCAAGAAGGTCCTGGCTGTGTTAAGGGCCAAGAGGGTCATGTTGGAGCCCAGCTTGTTCTCCGCAGGCCCTGCAAGTCACACTGGGGCTCATGGGTGGCTCAGTCAGTGCCAAGACACAGTTCCACCTTCAGCTCCACCAAGCAGTGGGATGCATGTCCCATGGCAAAGCCCCTCTGCCTTGTAGCTGGGACCAGTGGCACCAGTGGGACAGCAGCTCTCCCTTCCTGGGCAGGGCAGGGAAGAGCTGGGGGTGTTAGGTGCTGCCCTATACCAGGGGCAGGTGACCAACAGTACCCCCAGGGCCAACACCGTCAGAGCTGGCAGCCCCCTTGGTCACACATGCTGCACTGTGGGATGGCATGGCGTGGCATGGTGGAGGATGGCATAACATGGCATGGCACAGTAGGGCACAGCAGGGCACTACCAGAGCATGCAGCCCCTTGGCCACAAACACTGTGAGCTGGGGTGGCACAGGACAGCAAGGCATGGCACAGTGAAAACATGCGACCCCCCCAGGCCCTGCACGCTGTGGCCCAGGGCGGGCACAGCACGGCACAGGACAGGAGAGGACAGCGTGGCACAGCATGGCACCAGAAAGCACAGCCTGGAACAGCAACAGCAGGCAGCCCTGTGCCTGCTCCCAGTGCTCCACAGGGATGGTGGTGCACAGCATGGCACAGCCAGGATGTGCCACCCTCATCCAGCACAGCACAGCATGGCCAGACTCTGCCCCAGGGCTGCCCTCACCTTCCTGGCCGCAGCCTGGTGGGGGCTGAGCAGGGCCAGGGTGAGCAGCAGCAGCAGCTGAGGGTCCCCATGGCTTTGGGGGTGGTGGCCGTGAGCGCTGCCCGGGCTCTGCCTGTGCTGCTGCCCTGCGCCTGCCCGGCCCTTTTCGCAGCAGAGGGGTCTGTGGGTGGGCAGTGGCCACCCCTGCTGGGCCTCCTGCCAAAGGACACCTGCTGGATGGGAGAGCCCCATCCCCTCTGGACGGTGATGGAGCCGGTGGGGACAGTGCGGGATGGGGCAGGGAGCATGGCCAGAGCAGCAGGTCAGAAGAGCACCAAAGATGTCTCAAGGAGGGCAGGAGCATCTCACAGTGGAGGACTGGGGAGGTCTGGGGGCACCACAGGAAGTGTATGAGATCTCTGGAGACACCTCAGGAAGTGTATGGGATCTCTGGGGACACCACAGGAAGTGTATGAGATCTTTGGGGACACCACAGGAAGTGTATGAGATCTCTGGGGACACCACAGGAAGGGCAGGGGTTGTCAGGGGATGTCAAGGTGGAGGACTCCTTGGCTGCTGTCACCTCCCAGTCCCAGTGTGCAGGAGATGCAACAGGGGCTGAAGCCCACAGCTGTCTGCCCATCTCCATGCAAGACCCCCAGCCCCCTGAGCCTTCCTGCCTGCTTTCCCCATCCCCAGTGTTCCCAGGGGCCAGGGACAGCGGGGGTCTACTGTCCTGTGTCTTGGGACAGGCATGACCTGCCACCCTGGCCATGCTCCACTCCACCTCCTGTCCTGTCCCTGCAGACTCCATCACCGTTTTCGCGGGACAATGCTTCTTGAACAAGAAAGGAAAAGAGGTTTTGAAGACCATGTGGCTTCTGCGGTCGCGCGTGGATGACATTGAAGATGACTGGAAAGCCACCAGGTGAGCTCCCTGTCCCTGCCCTGCACAGGTCCCATGTGCATCCCCAGGGGGTTTGGGTTGCTTACAGTGTCACTGCCAAAGGTGTTGGCAAAAGCAGGTTTAATATCAGTTTGCAAAAGTGCGACTTAACAAAGTTTGATGGCAAGGTTCATTCTATTGCTTGCTGCATGGGTAAAAACATGCAAAGGATAAATGAGTGAGAGTCAGTTTAGAATGATTTATGTGGAGACTGGAGATGGAAAAGGGTAAGGGAGACACTCCCACTGGATCCTCCTGGAGTTCAGAGAGGCACCCCTTGCTTTCTGAACTGCTGAGACATCCTAGGTGTGGCTGGTTCCAATCCTAGTCCAGTACTTGCTCAGTGCCTTCTGTCTAAAGGATTTGGCAGCGCTTAATCACTGTTTAATTTATCATAAAGTGCTTTAGTATGGTTTGCCACAATTACAACAGAGACTTGACTACAGATCCGAGCTGGCAGCAGTCACGCTACACTTGCTATAGGGAGTTTACAACCATTCACACGTGTGCTCAGAGGGAGATGTTGGCACAGCCACCTACAGTGCTCCAGGAGAGTTTGAGGGGCCTCACTTAGGAATGCTCTTGTAGAGTCATAAGATGATTAACTTTAGTCATTAGTCAGTCTCCATCCTGAACATAGTCCAAGACAGTAATTATGGGAATTTTTCACAAATCCAGCAATCAGGATATGATTCAAGCAAATAACATCCAAGGCTATCAAAGTATTGTTTCCTTGGTAAGCAAGATTAGTTTGTAGTACAGACAGTGTTTCTGATAAGCTCAAGGGGAGCATCACCACCTGAGAGGCATTACTAAAGCCTAAGGCCCAACAAGGACTCCTGAATGGCCCCAGAATGGGAATGGGGGTTGGTGTTCCCACCCAGTGGTGATGAGCACCTGCTGCAAGTGTGGAGGTGACAGAGGGCTGGGTGCTTGTGCACAGCTTCACTAGGAGTCCTGCCAAGGTGCAAATGTTTCAGGGGGATACAGGGCTGGGTGGTCATTTGGCGACTCCCATGTCCCATCCTTACATCTCCTCCCTCTCTGTCCCTGCAGGGTTGGCACCGATGTCTTCACCCGCAGGGACGAAGACAATTAGCAGGTGGAGTGAGGGTGACAGCATTGGAATTCCCAGTCCAGTAGCAGTGCCAGGGATGCAGTCCATCCTTCTGTCCCACCACCTGCTTCTCCCAATAAAGCTTTGCTGCAAATACACACTGTCTCCTGTCTTGTCATGGACCAGCACCCATGTTCCCCTGTCCCCACTACAGCACTCCCCTACCTCGCCTGTCATCATCCCCCAAGGCTAGTGTGTTTCCACTGTCATGACCCTCCATGGCTCAGGCTCCTCTGTCCCAGCCCAACCGCCCCAGTGTTCTCCATTGCCTCTGGCTGCAAGATCACAGCCCTCTGCAAAGGGCTGAGGGCACACCAGGCTGCTCCCATCCCCCCTCACTAGGGGACATGCAACTGTCACCACCCCCTTAAGAAAGGGCTGGGAAGGAATCCCAGTCAGCTCAGCCCTCCCACAGCCCACCAAACGTTCCTACACTGCTCAAGACACCTCTGAGCCCAGCCAAAGCACCAGGGTCTGCAAACACCCAAATGTGTCTCCTCTGCAAGGGGCACACACAGAGCTGGTAAGACCAGGGGCTCTCCCACGACAGACAGAGCCAGCTGTGCACTCTCAGCAAGGCGATAAGACATCCAGTGCTGGGCACAGAGAGGCTGAGGCAGCAGCACTGCGAGTCTGCAAGTGCTGGGCACAGCAGAAGAGCTGCAGAGGGATGCTGCCTCCATGGCACAGATCTCTATGGCAGGAGCTGTCCCAAATCCTCCATCTCTTCCCTGGGTGAAGAGCCCAGCAGGCCCCAAGGCAGGGTCTCCTGGGTCACTCACCAATGTCATACTGCAGGCTGATCTGCAGCTTGGGCCACAGCATGATGAGAGCGAAGGAGGCGTAGAAGTGAACGTCGTAGGTGTTGTACATCCGGTACTCCTGGCCTGGAAACACAGGGGATGTGGTGAGGGACAGGAGACCTGCCTCAGGGAGGGGAAAAGAAGGGCAGGTCCTCCCTCCCACACGGCCCACCAGGGTGAGCTCTTTCCCGACACAGGCAGGGACTCCTGTTAGAAGGGGGGTTTATTCTCCCCACAGAGCACCAGGAATCTGGGAAAGACCTCACATCGTATCCTACAGGGCTGCAAGGGGTTTTCCTGGGAACAGAGCTGCTCCCTACCCATTGTGATGTGAAAAGCATTCCCATGGCTGGTTAAAAACACCTGATAACAGGAGCAGGGAGAGCATCCAGTAACAGTTGAGACCATCCATCACATCCCTGCAAGTTACCTTCCAAATAAGCAAACCTTCCGTATTCCCGCAGGAAAGGGAAGAGGTGGGACAGGCCAGCCCCTGCAGGCCCCTGCAGGTCCTCAGCACAGCAATCTGGGGGCACCTCCATCCAGATGGTCCCCCCATCCGTCATGAAGTACAGCTCATTGAAGAGGGCTGACTTGTACCAGGAAGGCAGCTGCCTGTGGGAATGAGGGAAACTCAACCACAGTGGACAAGCTGGGGATGCTCCCACTCCATCCAGTCCCAGGAGGCCACTGGGAAGGGGCTCTCCTCCACCCTACCTGTTCTCCAGGATGGGATTCTGCCACGCTTCAATCTTCCTCTCCCACTCCTCATAGTGCGTCAGGGCGTGATGTGACAGGGCGGGAGCAGCATCACCTCCACTGCCAAAAAAACGGGTGTACCGCCTGCCAAGCAAATTTTTGGTGAGCACACCATGGGCTCCAGCTGGGAAACCCACCTGGACACGAGAGGGGCTGGACTACGGGGAACACCAGCGTAACTCAACTGCTCATGCAGGGCCATTGAGGAGCAGGGGCTGGGCAGAGGGTCCCCTCCCTGAGCTGACAGCTGTCACCAGAGGGAGTGGGTGGCACAAAGCACCCCATGCAACATAAAAGCCCAGAGATTTCGAGAACCACAACAGTAGCAAAGGAACACCAAGTGATGGCAGCACCAAATGCCAAGGGCTGCTGAACGCCTGCTGGAACCAGTCTGAAGGGACACAGCTCACTCCTCTGGCAACGGGGACTGAGGGAAGGCGGCTGGGCAGCACCCTGGCTACTCAACACAAACCTCAACTCAGCAGGCAACCCCACACAGACTAATAAGATCCTGGCACATGTAGCTCACAGAGCCAACAACAACCCCAAAGTGGTGTGAACACCACTCTTTTAGAGAACCACAGCAAGCACAAGCAATGGAGAGGCTGCAAACAGTCTAAAGTTGGGAACAAGCCACAGCACCCCAGAGAGCTTTTAGCAATGACACCAAGGTGGCTGGAGGAAGGGAATTCTGCCTTGGCTCAGGTAAACCCTGTGCCCCACAACCAGAGGGCACCCATTCCCCTGCTCCCCTTCCACCTGTCCCATGGAGGATGGAGGGACTCACCGGTGGGTGAATCCAGCCTGCCATCCTGCAGGAGGTCCTGCCACACCTCTCTGCCCAATCCCGTGGGATTGAATGCCGTGAGGTGGGTGACTCCCATGCCAGCCTGGAGAAGGGAAGAGAATCATCAGGGGCTGATACTTTGGAGGGGCAGACACAGGCTCTCCAGCCCCAGCAACAACACAGAGATGTCACACTGGCTCCCCACTTGCTGCCCTCCAACTCTAAACCTACTCACCCACTGCCCTACAAGCTTCCCCCACAGCTTCTTTCTTGTCACTTACCCACAAAGATGTTGCCCTCAGGGAAGTCATGTCCCCACCTCAGAGCAAGCACTGAGAACCAGTGCCTGCCCAAGCCCATTGCCCACCCATCCTTTCCCAGCTGCTGGAAGCAGTCCCACCCCAGTCAGCAGAGATGCACAAGTCCCAGCAGGAGCCACACCACCAGGGCCAGCTCTTTACCTTCTCCTGGGCAGAGACGGCAAGAGTGAAGGGGTTCACACTCGTGCAGGGGTGCAGCAGGACTCCAGCAACTCGCTCGCCTTCCTTCTCAAAGGTGAAGGGCTCGTTCCAGCAGAACCTCAGCCATTTTTGTGGCAGGCAATACAAAATTCAGAAAAGGAGCCCTGGGCTAGCAAACACCACAGCCAGCAAGAGAGAAACGGAAAGCAGCGTTTAAGGCTCAGCCGGGTGTCTCATCCCTCAGCTGCCTGGCAGGTTGATACAGGCTCACGTGCTTCGCTGGGGTAAGAGGAAGGTCAGACGTGTCAGCTGCACAGCCTGCCACCCTCGCCTGGGGCTGGGAGCCAGCACGAGCAGTGCGAGGGAGTGCTGAGACATCCCTTGCTGCCATGCCGAGCTCCCGCATTGATGAGGGGGTTCCCCCTGCTTGGGACAATTGCTGAGCAGAGACACGGGGAAATGTTGGGAAAGCCCAGCTAACAAGCAGCTCTTCCCTTTGGGATGTCATCACCTCCTTACCTTATAGTCATGGGGGATGACGGGAGAGACCTGTCGGCAAGTGAGCACCACGTTCTGCCCCGGGAGCTCGTAGACCATCCAGGCCTGGGGGTACAGGGCGTGGTAAAAGGCATAGTGGCCACAATAGCCCCAGTTCCAGCCCTGCAGAGTGCTGGGTCTCTCCACGGACAAGACCTGCTGGTAAACGGTCTGCCCCTTGCAACGCAGGCACACGGTGAACTGGGGAGGAGAGGAACATTTGTAGGGAATGAGATGAGCCCAGTGGCAGATGTCCCAACAGCCCAGGCTGCTGCAGTGCCACTGACTCCCCCCACATACCCTGCTGCACCTACCTGGTTGGCGATGACCATTTCGTGGTGGTAAACGCCAGGATTCGGCTGCCAGCGGCAGAACTTGCCCCCAAAACACTATTTGCCTAAAAGAAGGAGAAAAAAGTGTGTGAAAATTTGCACAAGTTATTTCCTGCCCTAAAAAAATTCCAAAGTCAGTATCTGAGAGAACTAAGGCTTGTTTGGGTCCCTAAAGTCTTTTGATCTTCATTTGCAAGAGAATAATTGGTTGCAGACTCCTCAGGGCTGGGGATGGGAAGAGCAGCTGCTGGTGGTGCCATATCTGGAACAGAGCTGAGCACTGGAGAGCCGTTGTATGGATTATTTATGCCCCGTGGGCAGTTGTCAGACCAAGGCTTTCTGGTGGTGATGGACAGGCAAACAACTGTGCTGACTGACGGAAGGAGTGACTTTGTGTGTGGGAGGGTGATGAACCATTTCATCATCTCTTGTTAAATAAGAGGGCAGTTTCAGGTGACTTTAACTGGGAGCAGCTTGTGCTGAACACAGTAGGATTTAATGAGAAATTAGCCTGTGGTCAGCCCTCCTGTGTTTATCCCGGTGTGGGATTGGGGCTGTGCCTGGGGCTCCAGGCAGGATCTGCCCCAGACTGCAGTAATACCCATTTGGGGAGGAAACAGTAAAGTAAAGGTGGTGCACTCCAGAATCTCACTTGCCTGTCCTAGCCTTGGACTTGGGTTGCTGAAGGTGACACTCTTCCCTGCCCTCTGGTGAGTTTTGAGCTCACTGGAGGTGGGACTGGTGAACTTGTCTCCTCTGTTCCTATGAGCATCAAGGTGTTTTTCCATGTATTTTGATCCCTTGCCTGGCTGGCAGCACTCCTGTTTGTAACCTCATTCCTGTGCCCTTGCTGTGTGCACAAGTCGGGAATGAAATGTAGGAGAAGCCTGGGACCCAGTCCTGAGGAAACTGTGCCCCAAAAACTCCTGCCAGAGATGGCTGCTTCAGAGCAGCCCTTTGCTGCTCCCCACAAGCACCTGGGCTTATATCCAGAGCCACACTGAGGAAGAATGGCTGTGTGGATGCTTGGCTTTAGCACAGATGAAAGGGGTTTGCTGATTTTCCTTTGAGTCTGCAAAGGTGTCTGGTTGAACTGTCCAGCCTCCCCTGGCAAGCTCCTGCCTGGTGTCATCACATCATCTGCTTCCCCAGGCTTTGGTGTCACCAGACTGGCAAGCAGGGTCTGGTAAGTCCTTGGTCTGTGTTGATGAGCCTCCCAAATCTTCCCTTTCTTGCAAGTAGATGCTGTGGCTGCTCGATGATTTCTGCTGCACAGACGCTTCCTATTTTTATTGTCAATAAATTTAACAAAAGTGGCACAAAATTTTGTTTATTTTCGACTGTGTGAAGAGTGTTTTCATCTCTGTGCAGTCCTCCCTGTGCTGCTGCTCTACTTTTTGCTTGGCTGGCAGGTTGTTTTCATGCTCTGGTGCAGTTGGCTGTTTGCTTTTATTTCTTTTTTTTGTGTGGTTTCATTTTGGCTTTCTTTGTTCTTTTTTTCTGTTTTTGCAAGAGCTTGCTCAGCGTGATAATTCAGTCTATTCTGGTAACTGTCGTGAGATCTAGCCCCAGTGTTTGGAACCTTTTTTTCCCCTTATTGCAGGAGGGAGGTTTTTGTCCTGGTAATCACCTGCAATAGTTGTTTATCCAGTGAGCACTGTTGACCTTTCACAAGTCTTCAACTTTCACTTTGGAAAAAAGCTTCGGGTATTTCCTGCCAGAAAACCGCCAGGGGTCGTGTGCTTCTGAATCTGACCTCTTCATCCCCAGTCTGCCCCTTCTCTCTCTCAAACTCCCCCACCACAGGGCATGACCCTTTGCTTCATCACCCAATTACAAAACTGAAAGGATTAAAGTACTTTTGAAATCCCTCGAACTAGGCTTTTTTTTATTCTTCCCTTGAACTGAAACTGAATTTTACTTGTACTTTCTTTCCCCAAAATTCCCAGCATTTACTCAAACAAAGCTGCTTGTATCCACAACATTCACTTTGCAGCTGCAAGATACATTCTATTGTCACCAGACCAGTTTGGCCATAACTTTTGCCTCTGGCAGGAAATTACCTCAAGCCTTGCTGATCCTGGACTGTCTGTTGGCCAACTCTGGCCAGCGTCCCACCTCTTGAAAGCATTGTAATGCGTCCTATAGCTGGTGCCGAGGCTGAGAGAACAGGACAGTGGCCTTGTCAGGAGAAAGTCTGTGCCTCAGATAGTCCTCAGCCTCAGAAATGAGCAGTGGAGGCCATGAAACAGGTGGGGGTGGTGTGGTTGGCCAGGTCCCCAAAGCAAACTCCCAAGAGACGGTGGGGGGGGTCAGCCAGTGACTGAGGGTGAGAAGCTGTTTTTGGAGATGCACTAGCCGGATGAGCTCTCAGCCTGCTCAGGAGGAAGGGTCATGGTTAGGTACAGGTAAAGCTCCCCTGCAGTCAGCAGGCTGGGTAAGGAGGGGACACTGTGTGTGTGTGTGTGTGTGTGTGTGTGAGATGTTGGGCTGGTGCACGTGGGGTCGGTAGTTGTGGCTGGGTGACACTGCACATGCTGACTGGCTCTGCCCCCGGAGGGCCTGTGGCAGATACAATCCCCAGGGGAGACCTGGCTCCCTGGACGGTGACAATCTGAGCCCAAGCAGCAGGTCCTGGTCTGGTACCATGGCCCCCCTCCCTGCTGGCACCGGGGGCAGGCAGTGGAGCACATTTAAGGGGATAAATCACTTTAAGTTCTTAATAAATTTGTCTGGCTGTCTCCGTTCTTCCTTACTGTCTTCTTTGCCAGGGGCCAAGCCAGAAGAGGGAGCCCTTGCTGCCCTCCTTTTTCTTCTGGGGCTGGGCTGGAGGGCCAGGGCAAGCCCTAATCGCTGCTGGCTCTTGTGGAGCTTTGCTAAAGGCACCAACCCGCCTCCCCAGATGCGATGGCAGACAAGACCTGCCCCTTGCTCGCTCCTCTGTTGCCTGCAGAGCAGGACGAGGCCAGGAGGCAGAAAAGGGCTCTGTAGAGAGCAGTTGTGCAAGTCGCTGGCACTAAACAAACCATGTGCCCTTCTCCCCAGGCCTGGACACCTTGTTTCATTTTTCTCCTTTCTCTGCCAACACAGCACTTGAACACTACGCCAGCCTCGTTAAGGAGGGGTGGGGTTTACGGAGATCCACTGCCCTTCCTGTTGTGCCCCCAGAGGACTGTGTGGGTGCCTCGGGCAGTGATGAGTCACATCCACCCCTCCAGCCTCCCTAAGCAGAGGGACATTTGTCCTGCCTGTATGGGGCTGGCAAGGCCCCTCTGTGTGGCACCAGGGACCGGTGGCATGGGCACCATCTGGTACAGCAGCTCCTCCTCCCAGGGAGGGCAGGGGAGAGCTGGGAGTGATGGATACCCTCCTATACCAAGGTGACCAACAGCACCCCCAAGGACAGCACAGCCAGAGCTGGCAGCCTCCTTGGTCATGCACGCTGCTTGTGGGATGGCGTGGCATGGAGTGGGGTGGCATCAGATGCCACAGCAGAGCATGCAGCTCATCAGACAACCTGGTGTGGCACAGCCAGGGCACACAGCCCCTCATGCAGCCACCCTGAACCCTGGGACAACACAGCTGTCAGCACATCACAGCTCAGCATGGCCAGGCTGCCCCAGGGCTACCCTTACACTCCTGGCCGCAGCCTGGTGGGGGCTGAGCAGGGCCAGGGTGAGCAGCAGCAGCAGCAGCAGCCGAGGGTCCCCATGGCGTTGGTGTGGTGGCCGTGAGCGCTGCCCGGGCTCTGCCTGTGCTGCTGCCCTGCACCTGCTCGGCCCCTTTTCCATCCCCTATGGGGTTGCACAGGGGACCTGTGCAAGGCAGGGACAGGGTGCTCACCTAATCTCAGATGAAGCTGGGCAAACAAAAGAGCATCGAGGACATCACAGGGAGGGCAGGGAAGGTCTGGAGACACCACAGGTAGGGCAGGGGATTTCTGAGAACATTACAGTGAAGGGCAGGACAGCTCTGAGGATATAAGGGAAAGACTATAAGCTGTTTCTGTCCACTTTAGAGCTTAGTGCTCTGTTAATCCTTAATTGCCTTCAGGGCTGGGGTAGGCAGCAGCCTGTACTACCTGTTGTGACCATTCTTCCCCTACTTGCTTGTCCTGGGAGCTGGTGCAGGCAGGGGAACACTGCAGCAGCCAGTGCTGTCTAGTGGGTGACAAATGGGCCTTTCTTCACTCCCCAGGGGAGTGTTCCTGCATTCATGTGGATAGAAGAATAACAATATCCAGGAAGGACAGATTGTCCCAGATATGGCTCCCCCAGACCAATTGGTGTCAACCTGGCATGGCAGAGCCCACTGATGATGGAGAGGGACAGAGATACCCTCCTTTGGGGTCACCAGGGTGGGGCTGGTGGGGACAGGGGTGCTGAGACATCAGTGTGGCTCACCTGAAGTTTCCCCCTCCACTTGTCTTGTGTTGGAAGCTACCAACAGCAGCAGCAATATCCTGATCCAGCTAGAAAGGGACAAAAGCAGGCACTGAAGCCAGCACAGCTTCTGACATGGCTGGTGTTGCTGCAACCCATCAGTATTATTCTTTAACCCCAGGCAACAGGCTGCCTGCAGGCTTTTTTTTCAAAGGTTGGTGTGTTCAGTCTGTATGAATGGATATTTCTGCTTTTTCCTCCTCTTTTGGCCCTATCACCTCAATGAATCTCTTATGTGATAGGCTCAGCTTTCAGCAGCTTCTGCTTGGACACAGCTGCAGGCAGGGAGGACAGTCCTTGGTCACAGATTTTTATTACAGTACAGCCTGTACTACTGTTTTTCAAGGCTGATTCAATCCCAGTTAGAGGAAGGAAGTTGAATTATTTATTAACCCTTTCTTCTTATTATTCCTCCTTATTTTTCATACCCTCCTGATACACATGAGGTTTAAACCACAGCCCTGCCAATTTTTAACTTCTTCAGTGCTTTCTGCATTGCGTTTCTTCCCTGTCTGCCCACTGGCCCTTGCCCACTTCCTGCTGCACCAGGGTTCAGGAATGGCATTGCAGAATTTAGCCATAGCAATGATTACCAGCTCCAGTCTGCTTTGCTCTCTGCCCTTTGGAGGGTGCAAACCCATGGAGATACCCCCAGCTCTTGGATTGTTTTATTTTTGACTCAGCTGAGACTGGTCAAGAAACCTGCTTCCTTGAACACTGAGCTGATCCCTGCACCTGGAATGTATGCTGGTGGGACAGGGAGCGCTACAGACAAGAAAAATAAAGATTTTGGGCAGAAATAACCAATATTGTTTGTGTGATGTTAAACTGAACCTACAGCTGTGAATGAGCTCTAGGTTGCCAGGCATGGAGACCTTGCATTGCCCATCCCCAGGGTTCCTGCTGGAGCAGGAGCTCCCTGAACCACAATGATAGGGATGGGGTGATAGAGAGGGGGTGATAACGCAGGGCAGATGGCAAGGATGTGATGGAGAGGGGGTGATGTCTGCCCCTCTTGCCCCCTAAAACCTTTCCAGACCTACCCTGACCTTTATCACAAACATTGGCCACACTCCAGGCAGCACCTGCTTGCCAAAAAACAGTCAGAGCAAACAGCAGCTATGTGGGAAAACATACCTTGTTGTGCAGTTAATTTCCGAGACAGCAAACACTGGGACAGGAATGTCCTGCAGGCAGCCAGCTCTCTGAGCAGGGATCTCTTGCCAGAGGACTCTGGGGCTCCTGCAGAGAGGAGAGGGGTTGTGGAGAAGCCAGCAGCAGAAATGCAGGGCTCTCCAGCCTGGATAGCATCGAATTTTACTGTCAGAGAGAAACTGCAGCTCAAATGTGAGACTGAAGAGAAAGCAAAATTTGAGAAGTATTTCTGAGATGTTGCAAAGAGCTGCACTGTCTCCATTTAAAAAAAATTACTATTTTCTGGTGAATAGGGCTCCATCACCTCTTGCTGTGAGGACTGGGGGAACTGAAACATGTATTTTAGGAGACAGCCTTGAAAACGATTGAGAAAAGGGTGAGAAACTCTGGCGTGAACCCAGCCACTTCAGCCTTCTGGGCCAGCAACAACTATAACGTAAGGGGAATTATATAAATATGTACTTATAGTTATACAAGAATCCCTGCGTAAATGCAACTCTTGTCAGCATTACATGTCCAAGATATTCAGGAAATATTGGTTTTTCATTAACTAAAAAATTTCCTTCCAACAAACACGAGGTAGTCTGTAAAAACAGCAGCAAACGTTCATGTCAGCTCCAGGAGAGAGGGGACTGGGCATTTTGAGTGTGGGGGGCTAAAAGGCAAGTCCCAAGAGAATCCAGATGGTGGGTGGGTTTGCATGAGCATGCCTGGTGAGGAAGAGCAGAGTGAGCTGTGTGCTGTGGCCAGTCCTGAGGTGCAGTGGGTTTAAGGCTCCTTGGCACTACTGTGCACAGCACTGACATGGCAAGAAGGCAGCAGAATGGACAACAGCTCCAGAGAGGGGTTTTCCCATCTCACCATTCCTGGCAGTCCTGGCAGAAGCCAGACTCAATGTGCAAGGTGCAGGGGGAGCAAGGAGGGGCGTTTTCATCAGTTCTTTCTGGGAATGTCTGCTGCAATTACCCCCTCATATGGCTAGGAACGTCGACTTTGGAAACACCCAGATTGCATAATGCCCTGGCCAGAGCTGCCACCCACAGCCCTGGCAGCAATAAAAAGGAGAAGGAGAAGGAGCATTGGCAGAGTCCTGCAAGGAGCACATCCACAGGTACATCAGCTGTCTGCCTGCTGCAGAGATGGTGCAAGCAACTGCCTTTCTCCTGGTGCTCAGCCTGGCCCTGGGGGCTCACAGCCTCTCTCCAAGAAAGGTAAGAGCAGGTCTGGGATGCACAGGGCAGGGTGGGCAGGGTGGGCAAGGGCTGCAGGCTGTGCTGCGGCACTGGTACTGAGTCCCCTCTGCTCCAGTGCAACCTGATTGGGAACTGGGTCAATGACCTGGGCTCCAAAATGGAAATCTTCGCTGTGGATGGAGATGGTGGCTTCTCCGGCTCCTACCTCACGGCTGTGACAGCCTCCATGAACGAGATCAAGGAGTCACCACTGCAAGGGTCTCTGCAACGCAAAAACCAGAAAGGCCAGCCCACCTTTGGCTTCACTGTCAACTGGACCTTTTCAGGTACTTTCCCAATCACTCTGGTGTGTCCCCAGACCTGTCCTGCCCTCCCTGCTGTGATGCCCTGGAAGCTCTTCTGACCCTCCCTGCAGTGCCTACCCTGAGTCCCTGCGTTCCCCTGCACTAACCCATCTCCCATCCCCTGTGCTATCCTTGATACTCCCCTATCCTTGTCCCTGGAGCTCCTTGGCTGCTATCACCTCCCAGTCCCAGTGTGCAGGAGATGCAACAGGGGCTGAAGCCCACAGCTGTCTGCCCATCTCCATGCAAGACCCCCAGCCCCCTGAGCCTTCCTGCCTGCTTTCCCCATCCCCAGTGTTCCCAGGGGCCAGGGACAGCGGGGGTCTACTGTCCTGTGTCTTGGGACAGGCATGACCTGCCACCCTGGCCATGCTCCACTCCACCTCCTGTCCTGTCCCTGCAGACTCCATCACCGTTTTCACGGGACAATGCTTCTTGGACAAGGATGGAAAGGAGGTTTTGAAGACCATGTGGCTTCTGCGGTCACGCGTGGATGACATTGAAGATGACTGGAAAGCCACCAGGTGAGCTCCCTGTCCCTGCCCTGCACAGGTCCCATGTGCAGCCTGGGGCAGGGTGGGGGTTGGAGCTGTTACAAGTGAGTGGTTTGGGTTGCTTACAGTGTCACTGTCAAAGGTGTTGGCAAAAGCAGCTTTAATATCAGTTTGCAAAAGTGCGACTTAGCAAAGTTTGATGGCAAGGTTCACTCTACTGCTTACTGCAAGGGTAAAAACATGCAAAAATAACATCCTCTGGAGTCCCACTAAGGTGCAAATGCTATGGGAGAATATAGGGCTGGGTGGACATTTAGACCTTGTCACATCCCATCCTTGTATCTTCTTCTGTGTCCCTGCAGGGTCGGCATCAACATCTTCACCCGTGTGCGGTCGCAGAGGGAGTGAGGAGGGCAGCAGGGGGGCTCCCAGGCTGGCAGCAGCACCCGGGGGGGCAGCCCTCACCCCTGCCCCACCACTTCTTTCTCCCAGTAAACCCTTGTTGCAAATATCCACTGTCTCCTGTAATGATGTTGAAAAACGTGGAAAATATAAAAAATATTCCTAAGAAAGTATGTTCTTTGTTTGATCTTTGTATGCTTTCAAGCCTAATCAACAAGAAAGGAAATTTAATCCATGAAACACATAAGCAGCTAACAAGCTCTAAGTGATATCCAGGTGTTAGAGATACAAATTACTTCTTGGTAGAATTGTCTCCTTACGGTTTAAGGCTGGCCATGCTTCAGCGATCTCAGACCTAGGGGGAGTTAAAAATCTTTGGAAGAAGGATGTACTATTGATAGTGAAAAAAGTACAGAATTTACAAGGACGTTTGACAGAACCCTCGAGATAAGGAAGAAACTAATATGGATAATGCAGCAACTGTGCTGAATCAACTCCAACTGGGTAGAAAGTAATTCTGGCAGGGGGACATCAGGCGACCACTGACTTGTTACCCACTGAGTCTAGAAACCCACTGACTCAAAAGAGGAGAAAGACTGAGCCTGCAGACTAGTTAGCATGAGAAATCAGGGAGTCACTAATCAATAGCACACAGAATACTAATTACTGGATGAACCATGTACCTTGTAGCAAAGAACATTAATGCCTCTGTTTGCTAAAATGTGTAAACAATAAAAAGTTTCGATAGCTGATATGCTTGATTTGTGGAATACCACTGAACACCCTGAAGTTGTGCAACTCTGAAATAAATAATCAGTGCCTCTGTGCTGTGCTGTGCCACATTCTGCTCTGCCCTGCTGTCCTGTGCTGTGCCAGCCCTGAGGCACAGTGTGCAGGGCCCGGGGGGACATTGCATGTTTTCACTTTGCCATGCAGTGCTGTCCAGTGCCACCCCAGCTCACACTATTTAAGTTACTTCAGCCTGAGGGGCTGAGTGCTCTGGTGCAGCCTTGATGTGCCCTGATGTGCCATCCTATGTCACCTCTCACACCATGCCATGCAATGCCATGCCATGCCATGCCATGCCATGCCATGCCATCCCACCATGCAGCATGTGTGACCAAGTGGGCTGCCAGCTCTGGTGGTGCTGTCTCTATAGGCACTGTTGGTCACCTGTCCCCCGCATAGGGCAGTACCCAGCACACCCAGCTCTCCCCTGCCCTTACCAGGGAGAGTGAAGTGCTGTCCCAGCTGGTGCCCATGCCATCATTCCCAGCTGCCACATGGAGGGGCCCTGCCATGGGACACACATCCCACTGCTCAGTGAGGCTGGAGTGGGGACCGTGGCTCAGCAGTGCCTGAGGCACCCACACAACTCCCGGTCCCCAGTGTGACCTGCAGGGCCTGTGGAGGAACATCTCTCTGTCCAGGGAATGTGGTGTGTGGTGTTTGTCAGTCTGTCTGTCTGTCTGTCTGTCTGTCAGCATCAGGTGGCCCAGGTGTCTCTGTCTTGAGGTGCAGGTTCTCAGCCCCCTCATCCTCTCTCAAACCCTGCCAGACTCCAGACTCCACTACCGCCCTTGTAGGCCAGTGCTTTGTGGATTGCTGTGGGAAGGAGACACTGGAAACCACACGGCTCCTGTGGGAAGAGGTCACATCCCACAGGGACACCTGGAAAGCCACCAGGTGAGCCCTGCCCTGGCCCTTCCACCCTGCAGCCCTCACTCCCCTCCTCCTGACATGTGTTCCCTGCAGGGTTGGCACCTCCATCTTCACCCGCATCAAGTGATGGGAAAAGGGCCCAGAGCTGCCTGCAGCCCGCTGTCCTTCTGCATCCCCAAGGCTCTCCACTGCTCCAGTCCCGGGCTGGGCTCCTGCCTGCTCCCAGCATCCTGGTCGGGAAACACACCCTCACCTTGCCCATGCTTCTTCCCAGTGCCTCCCAGCAACTTGCTGGTGGGGCTATCCCTTTCCAAACCTTGCTGCTCCCACACGTGGAGCCAAATAAACCCTTCTCCAGCTGGCAGAGAGCCATGCCCCCTGTGTCCCTGGGATGCAAGCAGCCACTCTGTGGCCATGGGCAGAGCAAGGTGGGGGATGGGTGGTGGCTGGGGGGAGCACAGGGAAGTTTTTTTGGAGGGGTTGGGATGGATGGGGCGGGGGGACAGGGGAGCACAGTAACTGGGTAATTCTGCAACCTGATCATGGCTTCAGGCCTCAGTAGGTGCCTTCTTGCCCATGCGTACTTGGGACATCCATGGGGGCCCTGTGGTGGATGGTCCCAGGCAGCTTCCCAGAGTGGAGCAGTGGGATATCCCACAGTCAGGGATCAGGGAGAAGGCCATGTGCTGGCAGGCCAGTACTGTCACCTGGCCTCATCCTGTGTCTCTGCCTCCGTTACCAGCTATTGCTGTGGATGGTGGGCTTGGTGCTGTGTGCACATGTAGGGGAGAGCTGGCTCCACAGAATGGTGTCTGGGTTGTTGGGGTGGTACAAAGCCCATGCTGGATACTGGAGGGAGTATGAGAGGGACCTGGAGCTCCAGGGGAATCTACTGGGTAGACTGGGTGGCTAAAGCCAGATACTGAAGGAGTCCATGCTCTATGTACCCAGCTATGCATGTATTTCCCACTAATTGCCTGTTTTCTGATTAGCTAGAGGGTGGAGCAGGATACGGATATTTTCTGATGTTCAAATTTACAGGATGTCACCTGTGCCTTAAACTGGCTGCAGGATGGCTGGTGGAAGTGACTACCAAATGGGGCAGGGATTTTTGGGGCAGAAAGCACACAGTGCTCCAAGAAAGTGCTAGGGCCTGTTGGTCATTCTCTTCCTCTCACAGTGTGCCTGCCCTTCCCCAACCTTCCTCAGCCTCTGCTCCTCTCCCTCATTCCCTGCTGGGCTCTCGGACTGCTGTCAGCACCACACCAGGTCCCAAAGAGTGCACGGACTATCTAACGTATACTTATACTGAGTACAACTGGTTGATGTGGCTGGTGGTCCAGCTTTTGGTCAAAAGCCACCCCTGCATCTTCATCCTCATGCATCCTGTCTTCCCCACACAGCCCCCAGTTCATCCCCATTGCACACGGGAATCCTTGGCACTGCCCTGGCCATAATGGTCTCCTTCCCATGCTCCCTCCCCCCAAATGCCCACTGTGGCTGTCACTAGCACTGTGAGCAGGTTCTTTGGGCCCCCAAAGATTTCTCTGAATGGTCTGTGAGGTTAAAGCCTTGGGACTCCAGTGGGAATGGAAGAAGAGGTTGGGAGCCCCTATGGGTGAGCCCATGGGGAGAGAGGGAGCATGGAGAACCTTGCTGGCTCAGGGCATGAGATTTCATTTCTTTCATTACCCACATGACTGCAAATTCCTTGTCTCTTAGGGTCTCATAAGAAGGTAGCCCATGGGGTAGCAGAGGAAGTAAGCATTCTAGTTGCTAAGCAAGGAAACAGAAAGCAAAACTGTAGCATTTACAAGAAACCAGCACTGGCAGTGCCATCCCAATGCAATCAAAAGCTATGGTTATCAGCTGTCTCAAACATCCCATACCCTGGCCCTGAACCTGACCTGATCCTGCCCTTGTCACTTTTGCTTTCGTCTGGTATGTGAAAACAGGGCTGCCCACCTCCAGCCCACAATGCCTGGGGTTTTCCTATTGCTATTGGAGCAGATTCGTTTCCTTCATCTACCAAACCCCTGCACCCACTGCAGGTCACCAGCTGTCCACACCCACATACCCTTGCCCACACCTCTTGACTCCCTGTCCTCTGTCCATCCTCTGCAGTGACCAGGGAGTGGTTTGGGGTGCAGCAGTTCCTGCAGGACAGGGTGGAAGCCCAGACACAGCCCTCAACCAGTAGACATGGGGCTAAGGTCCCCCAGACTGGGTGATGCCAGTGGGAAGCCCCATGCATTCCTTCCTACATGCTGGGTCCAACCCATCCCCGTTCCCATCCCTATTCCAGACCTCGCGTCCATTTCCACCCTTGTTCCAGTCCCCATGCCCATCCCCATCCCCACTCCAGTCCCTATCCCGACTTCATCCTGACCTTCAATCCTCATCCTTGCCCTGTCCCCGTCCCCATTCCCATCCCCGCTCTTCCTGCAAGTGCCGCGCCAGGGCTTTCCGGGAAAGCAGCGCAGGAGCCGGGATATAAAACACGGCGGCGGCACTGCCACGGCGAGTTTCGATCTCGCCACTGCATCCCGATGAGCCGCCGCTTCCTCTCGCTCCTCGCCCTGCCCGCCGGGGCGGCTGTGGCCGCGGCCGCGGCAGGATGCCAGGTGGGAGCTCCTGCTGGGACACGCAAGCGGGAAACTCCCGGGAGAGGCTCAATGGGCGCACGCCTGGGAGTCCCGGAGCTCGGGGAGGGGACGCGCGTGGGAGACTCACCGGAGTGGTGGGATATGATGGGGGAGCTGCAGCGCTTGTGGGAGAGGGTCATGTGTGGAAGACCCATCTGATGGGGGAATCCCCGTCAGCTGGAGGACCCCCTGCTCCTCGGGGTGCACAGACGGTGACCCTGCCGACAGTGCCCCTGCCCTCCGAGGAGGGAAGGGATGTTCCGGGGCAGTCTGAGTCCCCGAGAGGGATGTTCATGGGGATTCCTTCCCTGGTGCAGGGGGTATGCATGTGGGGACTCCCCATTTCTCCCCGGGGGACATGGAGGTGAATTTGGGCAGGGGGAGGATGGGGTCCCTGCCCCAGGGGTGTGACTTGCCCCTGCCTGGGAAGGTGCAGTGTGGGAGAGGACAGGCAGTGCTTAGAAGTGGAAGTGGAGCCTTGCAAGTGGGGTGTGCACCATGGACCTGAGGGCTCCCCACTCATGCCACACATGAGACCCGAGAACTGCACATGTCTCCTCAGACATGGGCAGATGTGCCCTGGGCTCGCACAACTCACTTGGCAGGGCTACAGCACGGGGTGTTGCCTGTGTTCCTGCCAGTCCAGGGCTCCCACCTTTAGCTTTTCCTCTTCACCTCTTCCCTTTACTTGGCTTACTCCAGCTTTTGGCCCTCCTGGCACAGCTGAGATGGCAGCGGCTTTATAAGTCATGTCTTTTAAAAACAAATGCCTGGTTGGTCACTCGTGGGGCTTCAGAGACACCCTGCAGTGCCACTGTCCACAGTTCAACCTGTGCACTTTTCTTTTCCAAGCTCCTCTGCCAGGAAGCCGAGATACCAAGGGGGAAAAAGGCCAGCGAGAAGGAGGTGCCCAACAGCAAGTGGTGGCTGGGCCACCAGCAGAAAAGCCCCGCAGGGAGTGGCAAGGTGAGTGACAACATCCCGTGGGCTTTGGGGAGTGCGGGCAGGGGGCACAGCCTGCGGGGCAGGGGCTGTGTGCAGGCAGCCCCCTGGACACATCTGCCTGTCCCCAGCCATGCGACCTGACCGGCTGGTGGAAGAACGATCTGGGCTCCAGGATGCATGTGCTCGAGGTCGATGATGAGGGCAACTTCTCTGGCGAGTACTACACCGCTGTGTCAAGCGCTGACAAACCCATCCAGCCATCCCCCTTTGTGGGTTCCCAGCACCTGGACAAGGATGGGCAGTGCACCTTCGGCTTCACTGTCAACTGGAAGAAGTTTTCAGGTCTGTAGCTGCATCCATGGCTGCTTGTGGATGGGGTATTAGGATGGGGAAGGGACCTCATGCAGGCCCCAAGTGCCCATCCCAATCCCTGTTCTCTCTCTCCTGTCCCTCATCTGTGCTTTCCCGATCCCTCCCCACTGGGGATGGTGTCTGCAGACAGCAGGACACCTCCTGAAACACTGTTTGGGTGCGATGGCACCAAAAGCTGCTTTGGCAGCATCTCTGCCACGCAGCATTTCCCTGTAAACATCAGGATACACTTGGGCTCTGTGAGCATTTAGTCCACTAATGCTTGTGAAGCCCCAAAATCAGCTGGGGTCCTGCTGGGGTGCTAAGAGCCGCCACTGCTCCAGACTCCACAGCTGTCTTCGTGGGCCAGTGCTTCGCTGGGGACAAGGGGGACGAGGTCCTGCAGACCTCTTGGCTGCTGCGGGAGAAGGTCGACTCCTTGCACAGCGACTGGAAAGCCACCAGGTGAGCCAAAGGGCACCCAGTCCATGTGGGGTCCCTACCCCTCTGATGGCTGGACACCAATGAGCTATTGGTTCCTCACAGGACCGGCCGCAACACCTTCACTCGAGTGGGCTGAAAGGAGGGAGAACTATCTCACTCTCACCAGGCTTGGCAGACCAGGAGCCTCCTCAGAAGGATCAGTAGGTCCCAGCATCCCCTGATGTTATCTGCTCCAGAGAAAAATGTCTCAAAAAGTACCATATGAAATTAAAGATTTTTCATTTAAACCAAACCTTGTGCAGTTTGTGCATATGTCCCAGGAAAGCTGTGCTAAAACTGGTCCTGCATCCTGCTGTGGTGGGTGCAGGATAAAACTCTTATTGTCCTATTCCGGGAAGAGACTGGCCCCAAGAAATCACCTTTTCCAGCCCAAGCAGGATGGTGCATCCCCAAAGTGACCCTCTGACACTAAGTGTAACCAGCACTCATTTTTTTCTACTCAAAGCCTCATGAGTGTAATGGGACAGTAGGCTGGGGAGCCCTTTTGCACCCCAAAAATCTGTCTGGGAGACCCCTGCAATCTGAGACAGCCCTTGAGCAGGCAGGTGAGGGGTCTTGACAGTGTCTATACTCCTGGAAAGTGGCAAGAACTGCTCTATATCAGCAGCACAGTGCCAGTAGCTTCAGTACATCCTGTCCTAAAACTCTTCCTAGGGAAACGAGTGATTTACTGGGAATCAGATGACTTACAAATCCAGCCCCAAATCTCTGCCTGATGGACTATGTGACTTACCAAACGGGGCAGAGCATGCCACTGCTGCCTTAGGCACGCCCTTCAGCCAAAACAAATGATTTCCAGGAAACAGCACTGGATCTGAAACTGAAACTTAGTCCTCGTATCATTGATTCTCAAAATAACCTGGAACAGTGTTGCATGCCCTGAGCTGGCACACTGCCTGGGATTTGAGGAGCCGGGGGATAGGACTGAGCTGCTGGGGCTGCCACCGCCTGCTGCTCCCCTGGCTTTCCTACCACAAATGCTGTGGGAAAGCTTTGCTAACAGCATCTGTGGCTTTAGCAAGTGTGCCGCCTTCTCTGTGTTTTAGCCTGCCTTGTTGCAGACTTGCATGCCGTTTGCTTCTCACACCTTTCTGCTTGGGGTTCACCTCTTCTTCTAGAGCGATGTTGCTGTTTCCTTCTCAGTGCTTCGCTGGCACTTCTCCAGCTTTTTCAGTTCCCTTGCTGCCTTTCTGGCCAGAATGACTTCACACCAGCCCTCTGCTATGCATGTATGCATGTGCACTGCTTTTTACACGCTTTACAGGAAAATGAGAGCTAGGAAAGTGGGAGGCAGAGGGACCACAGGACTCTGCTCTCCCTCCAAAGCAAGGTCAGCTTAGCAGTGGGGCACCCCACTAAGCCTGCATCCACCTGACTTTGTTACAGCCTTCACGCCAATATTTCCCCAGGGCACCACTGCCCAGAGGTTGTGCATCATTTCTGGGGTGCTCCAGCAAGGCAGCAGTGCTGACCACGGTTTGAGCAACCAGCAAACCCCTGCAGGCAGCCACGGTGCTGGTGGGAAATGCGGTGGGCATGAGCTGGCGAAGCTGTTTGCAAGACCAGTCCCTATATGAGTGCAACCAGCAAGGCTACAACACATCCAGAATCTCAGTGGCAGGTGATAGGACAGGGAGTGTCAGGTGTTACTTTCAGCCTTCTGAGGGTGGCTAAGTTTGAGGATGCTTCCCCATGGGCATTAGGCATCCATCAGCACTGGGTTTTACCCAGCTGGAAGACCTGCTCATGGTGCTGGTCTGCAAACCCAGCACAAATCCCTCAAATAGGCAGTCACTGTTAGAATGCAGGAGTCTACACTGCAGGAGTCCTCCGGCACTTACGTGTCTTAACCACGATGTGGAAAACTGCCCTACGCAACCATTTCTGCAGGGACTGTTCCTGTCGACCGTTTACAAATGTCTCAACACTGCACGTCTTGCTGCCCAACATCTGTCTCAATGCAGCTCTTGTGCCACCTAAGCATATGGAGGCAGAGAGTTCCCAGGTCACTCAAGGACACATAGGTCCCATCCCCTCCACCATTTCCATGTTGTCCTCTGCTCAGGACTGCACATCATGCTCTGCTCTCTCCACCTCTCTTCATGGCTCCATTCCAGCTGCAGCCTGGCCAAGCACAGACAGCCATCCTGAGAAGATGGAGGAGTTCCTTGACCATGTTCATTTGGGCTCATTTGGAACCAGGGCACCCTTCCAGATGCGTTCTATGTACCCAACCCACAGCTGAGCTCATCCCACTTGGCAGTATAACCCTTTGGGTGGATGAGGGATCTGCAGTTTGTCCAAGTTCCCCTCTATGCCTTATAGGGTTACTCACTCCTGCCACGCTGCCCACACCCAGGCTATGCTGCAGCCCCAGTGCTGGGTTCCCTCTGCTCCAGTGCACCCTGACGGGGCACTGGGTCAGTGACCTGGGCTCCAACAAGCCATCTCAGCCATGACTGGGAAAGGCAACTTCACCAGCTCCTACCATACAGCTGTGACAGCCACCGCAAATGAGATCTGGGTGTCACCACTGCAGATCATACGTGATGAAACACGAGAGCCAACCCACCTTCTGCTTTACTGTCAACTGGAGCTTTTCAGGTGTTTCTCCTTTCTCAGCCTCCCTCTTGTGTCTCCAGAGCTCCCTTGCTCTCCACTGTGATATTCCCAAAGTTTCCCTTCCCTTCCTGTGAGGTCCCTGATCCTCTTCTGCACTTCCCTGCAGTATCCTATTTGATCCTCTGCCTTCCCCTTTGGTGTCACAAGCCCTCCCCTCCCTCTACAGTGTCCCTAGAACTTCCTGCCCTTCCCTATGGTGTCCTTGATGGTCTCCTGCCTTACTGTGGTGTCCCCGGGGCTCACCCATGCCCAACACCAGAGCGGCATGACTCGTGGCACCTCCTGGTTCCCACCTGTCAGGTCCTGCCCAGGATGAGGGGGGAGCAGAGCTGGATGCAGTCCCAGCTGGGCTCATACCACCAGCCCAGCATATCCCACGCCTGTTCAGTGCCATGCCCGCAGTGTCAGCAGGACAGGAGGCTGAGGAGGGAAACATCACCCACCTACAAGCAGCCTTTGCCTAAGAGGGGCAGCCCCATCCCAGCACCCTCTCATCCCACCCTTTCACAAACTGCCGACTCCATCATCGCCTCCATGGGCCAGTGCTTCGTGGATGAGGTCAGAAAGGAAATACTGAGGAGCATGTGAATCATGCAGGATGAGGCTGACAGGCAGAGGATGACTGGAAAGCCAGTGGGTGGGTGACAGAGCACTTCCCTGTCACTGCTCTGTGCTGGGGCTGCACCCATGGGTGCTGCATGGAGCCCACAGGAGAGCACAAGCCCTGAAGGTGGATACTGGGAGCCAGCTGGGCAGCAAGAAAGGGAGAGTGGTGCCAGGACCCCATGGAATTTTGGAAAAAGTTCCTGGGATGGGACCTGAAGGCAGCTCTGTAATTTTTTAATTAAAATCAAAGCGCAATTTGAATATAGGTATTGCCAGATCCTGCTCCCTGCGGAGGAAGAGAGCAGCCTTCCTCTGCCTGTACTGAACAGGGGCCACAGAGGTCTATCCTGACCTGGATGCAGCCCAACGCCAATTCTGTCTTCCCCTGCGACACATTCACCTGGTTGGAGCGACATCTTAGAGGATGTGTCTGTGCTGTGTCCCCGTGCAAAGGCCAGGCAGTTTGAGCACCCCTGGCCACCTGCACATCCCCAGCACAGTCTCATACCATTAGGGACCCCTTGGGAGGGCTCAGACAGGGCCCTGCCCAGCCTCAGACCACCATGGATGTGGCATCACCTTCCACGGTGTCTACAGAGCCACCATGCACAGGGCATCCCCTCCCACAGGGACAAGCAAATTTTAACATCTACGTGTCTTTCAGAAAAGTCTTTCTGCACTTAGAAGAGGGATTAATTCAACAGTTCCTCCTGCAGTCATAGTCACAGTTCCCAGACTCAGGGAAAGCCCAGCACGGCCAGGAGGAAAAACAGCTTAGAAAGAGCAGCAGACATTTATAATGCAGGAGGGTATGGTCACAGGGATGTGTCCCTGTGGGCAGACACACATCCTTCAGTGCAGCCGCACGGAGCTGGTCAGACTGTGCTTGCTGCAGCCCCGTGTTGGGGTGGCAGCACGGGGTCAGTGGCAGTGGGACAGAGTCAGGCTGTGCCTTCTCCCAGGACTCCCAACACCAAGCAAGGAACGGGTTGGCAGACCCTCCTGGGGAGTGGATATGTAAATCATCCCTCTGTCCTCGCCTCTCTGAGCAGCCGTGCTCATCCCCAGGTCACGCAGACCTCCTCCCCTCTCTCCTCGCCTGGCCTGGGCACGCTGACATCAGGCCACTCGACCCGCGGCTGCCAGCCCGCTGCCGCCAGGGATCCGGTTACAGCCCTATAAAGGGATTGGGATGCAGGGCGCCGGAGGAAGCCGTGCCAGGCACTTCGCAGCCCTGCAAGGATGGAGAGGGGTACTTTCATCCTGGTCCTCACCCTGGTCGTGGCAGCGCATGTTGCCCCCGCGGAGAGGAAGGTACGGACGGGGGTGACAACGGGAGCGTGGCAGACGTGGCTGTGGGATGCAGCCTGGGCAGCCAGAGGTTCTCTCTTGAGTGCCAGGTTAGGCTTGGACAGGCAGGACAGCTTTGCAAGCACCTAGTCCAGGAAGTGAGCAGGGTATCTCTGGGTCACCTCCCCACCTGGTATCACCTTCAGGAAGCTTTACTCCCAGAGGGCATTCCCTCCCCTTCCCATGGGATCTGGGTCTGGGGTACCATACAGGGAGCACCCTCTGTCATGGGATACATATCTAGGGTACCATGCACAGGACAACCCCTCCCATAGGATATTTGTCCTGGGGCACCATGCATGGGGCACCCTGTCCCATGGGCTGTGTGTCCAGGGCACTATGCATGGAGCATCCTCTCATGGAATATGTGTCTAGGATACCACGTGTGGGATATCCCCTCCCATAGGATATGTGCCTTGGGAAGCATGCATGGGGCACCCCTTCCACAGGGTCTGTGCCCAGGGGTACAGTGCACAGGGAATTGCTTCCCACAGGGTCTGTGTCTGGGTGTACTGTGCCCCGGGCACCCCTGCCTCGGGGTCTGTGCCCAGGGGTACAGCACACAGGGCAGTCCCTCTCACGGGGTCTGTGTGAGTATACAGTGCTTGCCAGCAGGCTGGGACATACTGGCCTTGCTCCACCACTCACTCAACATTCAGAAGCCCCCTGGGGGAGCATTTCCCCAAACTGGGGTCAGGGAGAGCCATGCCCTGCAGCTGCAACCGCAGCAGGGCTTGTGGCTGCAGCTTTGGGGCAGCAGAAGGGATGGGGTCCCCCTGTGTGCCGTGTGTGGGGACTGAGAGGGTGTGGCTCTATCACTTCAGTGCCGGCTCAGCGGGCTGTGGAGGAACGAGCAGGACTCACTCATGGAGATTTCAGCATTGAGGGAGAACGGGGACTTCCAGGGAAAATACCTCACACGGGTCACCCTCTCTGGTGGCTGCGCCCACATCTCCCCCCTGAAGGGCATCCAGCAGCAGCCTGGCGAGGGGGGCTGGCCCACCTTCGCCTTCACAGTGCGCTGGGACAAGTTCTCCAGTAAGTGCTGGGACACTTGGGGATGGTACGGCGGTATCACTCAGAGCCACGTGGGCAGCCAGCAGGAATTCCCTTTTGCAGGAATTCTGCTGGGTGATGTTTTGGTGTAGGTAAGCAGTGTGGGGCTAAGGGGCAATGCTGAGTTCGTACGGGGCAGCCCCTCCTCTCCCATCATTTTTGTCCCCAGCCAGGCGCCTCGGGGTGCCCACAGTGGGTTCAGATCCCATTAGGTGACACAGATCTTGCCTTGTCTGAGGGAGTCACTGGGGAAGGGCAGGACTCCCCCCCCCGCCCAGCGTGGGTTGGGTGGAGATGTGGCATTGGAGGGGGAACACAGCTGCCTCTGGGAGGATAGTGGGGAAGGGGAAGCAGCTGGTTTCCCCACAGATCTCCCAACAAGTGCTTCCTCCCAGATGCCACCACCGCCTTCGCGGGGCAGTGCTTTGTGGATTCAGGTGGAAAGGAAACACTGACCACCATGTGGCTGCTGCGTGAAGCTGTCGGGTCCCTTAAGGAGGACTGGAAAGCCACGAGGTAGTGTGGGGACATGGGGGGCAGCAGTCCCACAGAGGGGCCCTCTCCAGGACCCTTGAGGATGAGCAGCCCTCTTAGCGAGGGGAGAACCCCTGGGGGCTCCAGTGTGGGCTGGCAGCAGGGATGCCATTGTGTCCTGCCAAAGGGCTTGCCCTGCCCGGGGACACCTGGCAGCTGCTTGAGGAAAGCTGGGGGGCATTTAGGGACACCCCATCACCTGTCAGCACTGGCAGCTCTGAGTGGGCAGAGTCATTGGGTCATCCCACAGGGAACTCTCAACTTCTCACAGGGTGGGCAGAAATGTCTTCACACGAAAACGCACCACAAAAGGAAAGATCCTGCCGAGCTTGTCCCCATCCTGTGAGGATGTGTCTTTACCAGCCTCATGATGGGATGATCTGGCTGCAGCCTGGCCCCCCAACAAGGCAAGCAAAACCTGCCTCTCAGATGAAAATAAAACTTAAAAACCATCTGGTGTTGTTGCCTCTTTTATAAATCTGCCCTTGCTACCCCTCCTGTCCCCATGGATACCCCTGATGAGGTGAGGGCTTACCATTGCCCTTCCCCAGGGACACTTGCATCTCTCCCTAATCCCACTCATCCACCTCCCTGGGCTCATTTCCCACCTTATCTTAACCCATACTTCCACCCTAAGTCATCACTCCTTGCCTGCTTGATGGTGGCAGAGCTGGCAGCAGCATCCTGAATCCAGCTCATTTCCATGCACTGCCTCATATCCATCTCCACCAGACCCTTTCCAGTACTTCTGTGCTCTGTAGGGTTGGGTGATACAGACATCATTATCAGTGGAGGTGAGATAGTGGTTCAGTGCTTCCTTTGTGCTGTAGGGCACCCCATGTAAAATGTGCACAAATAAAGTCCCCATCCCATTTCATTCCTTACCATCCCCCTGCGTTACACCCAGGGATTTTACCCTTCTCTGCCACTGCATTTCAGCAAGTCTGCTCTATTTGCCTCTGTGGACACTTGTCAAACTTAGTCAGCTCCTTTCCACACAAAGTTTTTGGCAGATCCATGGGTGAAGATGAAACCTCTTACAGAAGTGTTACAAAAATATTCCAGCCCTGGGGTTGACAGCAGTATTCCTTTGAGCCTGGCTCAGCCCCAGAGAGGCCAGAGCACATGCCATGACGTGGAGGGGTGCCTGCCACTTCCCTGGCACCCCTAACAGGGCAGCTTGTCCCTGCCAAACAGTGCAGAAAGGGAGGGGCTGGTGTCAGGCCAAAGGAGTAGAGTGTGGCATCCGGGGCAAGAGCAAAAGAACACCTGAGGTGGGAGGATTTCTCCAGCCCCTGTGATAAGCCCATGAGCATGGGACAGAAAAAGGCAACAAGGAGGAGGGATGTGTTAGGAGAGAGATGTTTTCCCATCCCTCTGGACGAGAGGGAGATGTGCTGAGCAGCAGCAGCAGGGTGCCAGGGTGTGCCAGGGCTCGTGGTGGGCACTGACAGATGCCATCCCCGTCCCCAGTGTGCACACTGCAGCCCTGCTGCTATCCAGTGCTCAAAATACGGCTCTCCTGGAAACAGCACATGTTGATGCAGCTGAATCCCACCTGAATTTTCCATTGCCCACAGCCCCATGACTGCTCCAAGCATCACAGAGAGGAAAGACACAGCTCAGGAATACAGGGACGGTGCAAGCTGCAGTTTTTTGTCCAAGGCCCTTTAGAGCAGCAAATACAGGGAAGAGGTGTGAATACAATGCTGCTTATCATACTGTGTGCATTTAGCAAACACACTTGATGTGAGATACCTCAGTATCTCACTGTGGTTACTTCTTCCTCTACTCCCAGTAAAGTAAAAGTAAAAGCAAAAGCATCCTACTCAGCAGCTGACATACACAGTATACTAGGGAAGGGTTATTGCTGCTAGAGCAGAAGTCAAGGTGAGTCTTCCCTCCTGTCAGCACTGCAGCTGCTGCAGCTGGCCCCTACCAGGCACCACCTGGGTGACACCCTGCTCAGGAAGTGGCACCAGCGAAGCAGGAAGGGGGTGAATGTTTGAACAGGTTATAATCTGCATCCTGCATGCACAGGAGGCGGATTCCCGTGGAAGGTATTGGTGTTTTCCAAGCTGCTGTAAGTGCCTCATAAAACGCCTGTGCACCCTCCCCTCTGCAAACCGTGCTCATCCCTGCATTCCTCCAGCACTGACCAGGTCATGCAGACCTCCTCACCTCCCTGCCTGTCCCGGGCACCCTGACATCAGGCCACTCACCCTGCGGCTGCCAGCCTGGTGCTGGTGGGGCTCCGGTTACAACCCTATAAAGGGGGCCAGGCTGCAGGGCTGGGGGGAGCTGTGCCAGGCTCTCAGCAGCCGTGTGGCCATGGAGAGCAGTGCCTTTGCCCTGATCCTCACCCTGGCCCTGGCAGCACCTCTTGCCCCTGCGGAGAGGAAGGTATGGGGATGGATGATGGTGGGACAGAGTGCTGGCACACTGCTAGACCCCCCAGATGCTGCTGGGGCTGCAGAGCTCAAGAGAGAGCCAGGGTTGGGCTGCTGGAGCTGGTGGAACCAGCACTATCCAACCCTGAGGGAAGCTGCGGTGAGGTTGGGAGAGAAGGATTGCTCCAAAATGATGCCCCTCACTGTGGGAATCATCCAGAAACAGGCAAACAGAACCGTGCCCTAGAGAATTCCTGTTTTCCCATCAGGCATGCATGGAAAGCAGTGCACCTGCTGATTTAGCATGAGGGGGACCTGCAGCACCTGGCTGAAGGCAGTCAGTGCTAAGGCGTGGCACTCTCACTGAGATGGCCATGCCAGTGGCACATTGGGTCTGTGGCACATCACCCAGTGCTGCAGGCATCCCTGGGAAGATCCAGGGTGGTGGGCTGAGAGCAGGATGCCCCCTGCCTGCCCAGGCACCCCAAGCCTCACGCTGTGCTTGCAGTGCCTCCTCTCCGGGTCATGGCGGAGCGACACCGGCTGTCGGATGGTCGTGTCCACCCTCGGCGAGGACGGCAGATTCTCCGGTTCCTACCTGCCAGGACCTGCCACTGGTGACTCTGAAATCCTCCCCGTGCCACTGCAGGGGTCCCAGCAAGATGCAGGGCTAGTCCCACAGCCCACCTTCTCCTTCACTGTGCACTGGCAGCTCCAAGGTAGGCGGGAAGGGGGCCATCGTGCTGCAGCAGGGATGCCAGCAGGACAGAGCAGTGGCCTTGTGTCTCACTGCCTGACTCATGCAACTTCAAAACCTTCCAGATTCAGAGGCAGCCCAGACAACCGTCTTCCTGGGCCAGTGTTATGTAGGCACCAACGGGGAGGAGATCCTGCATGTCCTGTGGCTTTGGCGAGAGGCAACCGACAGCCCCACTGAGGACTGGAAAGCCACCCGGTGAGTGCTGGATCCCAGCCACTGCTGTGCTAAGCTCTCCTGCACCCCAGGCTGGAGAAGGGAGAAATACCCTGTCATGAAGCATGACAGGACTGGGAGGGTTAAATGGGTTTGTCATTTAACCCCTGATGCTGAGCAGGGGTTAAGGAGTGTCCCTGTAGCATGGTCAGCCCCTCATGTCAGATCTGCCTCAGGGTGGGTGACCCCAGGATAGGGTCTGGCCACAGCAGGTCTCCCTCATCGAAAAGGTCTCCTTCAATTCTCAACAGCAGGAGAGGAGGAAAAGGTGCCAGCACCTGGTGCAGCCTTGGCTACAGGCTGTTGGAGCCCGGAGTACCTCACTCAACAAGCACCCTGTGGTCAACACAACCCTCCCCTTGGGTTTTCCCTCTATACCATCCTCAGCAGAGGTAACCCCATCTGGGTGAGAACAGTGATTTGGTGTTTTCTGCAGGGTTGGCGCCAGCATCTTCACAAGGATAAAATAACTGCAAGCGGGGAAATCCAGGAGGATCAGTACTGCAAGGAGTCAGTTGTTCTCACAGGCAGGTTCTGCTCGCACTGACGTGCTGCACTTGAGCAGCTCTCAGCCCACAGGTTCACGCTTTCTCAGGCAACTTCAAAATAAAGATGCAAAATAATGGGTTTCCGTGGGAATGCAGGGCTTGGCTCTGTTTTCTGCCTTGCCTCAAACCTCTGGGGTTTGTCTCGCCCCACAGCCACTCCCCCTCCCCTTCGTGCCGCACATCTGAGGGCAGCAGGGTCCCTGGGGATGGGGGCTGTCCCATGTCCCCTCCCTGCCGCTGTGCACCAGTACCGTGCCTGCAAACCTGCTGCTGTGCTGTGGGTAACACGCTCCTCGGGGTCGCTCCCCGGTGTCCCCAGCGATGGGGAACAAACCGGGCTGTGACCAGGCAGCAGGATAAGGCGCAGCCTCGGTGTGCTGCCTTGGCCCGCACGTCCCAGGGCTGCAGGGCAGGCTCCAGGCAGAGCCTTCCCCGTGTGAGCAGAGCAGAGCAGAGCAGAGCAGAGCAGAGCAGAGCAGAGCAGAGCAGAGCAGAGGAAGTTTCTCGGGTGCCCGAACGCACGGGTCGGTTGCAAAGGATTTTTGCAGAGCCGGCAGCCTCCCGTCCCCAGCGCCGGCGGATGCGCAGCGCTGGGCGGCTGCCAGCTGCCCTCCCATTCCGGGGCTGGGGAAAGCTCCCAAACGCCCTGTCCCACGAGACCCCTCAGCACGGCTGTGTCCTCTGAGCAATGCACAGGTGGGGGTCTCCAGCCAAGCCCCTGATGTCCAAGCACAACCAGGGAAAGAGAGGGGAAGCGTGCATCTGGCGCTGGCTGGAGTCTTTTGGGTTTCACAGCCCTCTACTTTCTGCCTCAGACACCTTGAAAAATGTTCCCAGCAGAACTCCCTGGTGATGCTGGGGCCTGGGGGTCCAGCAGGCTCAGGGCTGAGGTGCCCAGCTGTGGGAGCTGGAGGGGGGTGATGGCTCCCTTGATGTATTTCCATCTGCTTTTCAAGCCAGTTTTCATATTTCTGCTAGTTTTTCTGTTTCCACCAATATCCAGCAGCTGGTGCTAGTGGATAAAAATAGGATTGATGCTGACACAGGGTTTAGATTTCCCGTGAAAAGAAGGGTATGTCTTATTTCTGCTACTGACTGAAATTCCCACCTCTGTGAGAAACCCTGATTCATTTAAAATAGGGGAGAAACCTGCCTCCTTTAAAGCCACGATCAGGAAGTGTTTTGTATTGCCTATACAGCCCAGGCCTTCCCTGGCAATAGAAGGCAAATTTCATTTAATATTTTCACAGTTTTCAGTACATCACTACCATGGAAATGAGGTGGCATGACCAACACTTGAGGAGTCACCAAGCAAAAAAGAGTCATTTGGCAACACCCATATGGGACTTGCCAAGGGCCGAGCAGAATATTTTGCTCTGAAGGGCTCATGTTTCCAGCACATGTCAGTGTGCTCTCACAATGCAGGCACAGACACCTGCCAGGACATGAGTGAGATATAGGCTGACCTTGGGCATAACAGAGGGAACACAGCAGGGTAGGTAAGCAGGGACCATGACACTGATCTAAGGCAGAGTTAGTGTGTGTCCTATGCTCTAATCCCCGCAGCCTGCAAGGAAAAAAGATGGAGGATCTGCAGCAAGGTGAAGAAGGACGTGGTAGGAATACCAGGTGCCTCCTGCTCCTCTACCTGATGTACAAAGGTCCTTGGATGAAGAGCTCATTATGGGCACTTTTATCATTGCTGCCATTTAACCCAAGGCATGAGGACTGGGCTGGGCTTCCTTCCTCTCACCAGCTCAGGGCTGCTCACTGTGGGACCAGCACAAGAACACAGAAAGCAAAGAAACATAGCAGACCTCAGTCACTGTGGGCTGAGACCATGGAGCAGCCATGCCTAAAACTCCCAGCTCCTGGCTCCCTGGCCCCTCTCCCAGAGCTCTCTCTCTTCCTGATACTTGGTCAAGCAAGCCAGACTGATGCAGAGCTGTACTGATCCCATCACTCCCAAGCAAACACCAGCTCCAGAGGCTGCTCCCTACCTTGCTGGCAACAGCACCACGTATTACTTCCGATGACTCATTCGATATCAATTAGTGCTGGGCCAGAGACCATGTGACGCCAGTGGCATTACTCACCCTGGCCTTGAACTGCAAAGAGTGAAACTAAAGTGAATATGGGGTCCTAAACCTTCCTGATGCCATGCACAGCTGCTGGGAATAAAAGGGTCAGTGGTTTCCTGAAGATGCTTGAGATACCTAGGCAGGGTACTGAACTGTGACACGACACTGTTGAAACCCTGCGCTGCCTGTCCTGAGACAGACCCCTGGGAGAGTATCTCTTCCCCAGGCAGATACAAAATGTTCCGTTTAATATCTCGTTTGCCAACATGAACGTTCTCTGCTTCCCAGGGGTGTGCAAACATGGAGTTTCATTCACCCATAGCCTTGGGGGCTCCTATGCCCCCAACTCCCACACTGGGCTCCACAGCCTGACCTCGGGGTCTCCTAGTGCCTTCCATGGACCCAGCGATCCCAACCAGACCCAGGACCCAGCCCGGATTTAGCAACCCCACAGCAGGCAGGGCCTTCCCAGTGGCCCCAGGCGGCTGAGGGGACAGGGCTGTTGCAGCACCCTGGCTCTGCTCCACTTCCTGCGATTGTGCAGCTCCCCGTTACGAAAGCAGCGGTGGGGGCTGACACCAGCACCGGCTCCCCGCGCTTCCTTACCGGGGACGCTGCTGCTTCCGCGGCGCTGCGGGCTCTGCTGTGCACTGTGGGCACGGGGTGTTCACCACTTCTCTCCAAAAGAGTGTTTTTGCACCCTTGAAGGGGGTGAGAGCAGAGCAACAGCCCTGCAAACCTGTGCCGTGCCTCAACAAGCGCCTCTGCACAGCCACGCGAAGGGAATGCAGGCTGTGACAGTGATCACTCCTGCCTCCCTTGGGTTCCTCCCACAAGGCCCCCAGCCCCAGCTGCAGTCCTCAGCCTTCACCCAGCAGTCCAGCACCTCACCAAAACAAGCACAGAGGACACAGTCATACACCATTAGTATTTATTTAGACTTTATTAACAAGGAAGGTATTATTATTATTATGACCCAGTTGAAGATGTACCTACTTATTGCAAGGGGAACCTGACTAGACGACCTTTACCGGTCCCCTCCAGCCCAAACCATTCTACATGACTCTATGAAATGTCCTGAAGTTGGATGAGGAGACTGATCTACAGATACCACTAAGCTTCACTTCAGGAAAGACGCTGTTCACCAGCTCAAAGTGTTTCTGCTCAGCCGTGGGGAGCAACAGGAACCAGTTCACTGCATCACCAGCCAGCACAGCAAGGCTTAGGCACACGAGGACATGGCTTTGAAACCATATTGTGGCCAGGAAAGCCTGCAGAAGAGCAAGCATCTCTGCTGCTCTCCATCCATGCTGCCTCAGCAGTCTGGCTCAAGGTATGCTGGCCCCCTGAGGCCCAGAAGCCTGCAGCAGATGAAAGGCTCAGCCCTTACGGTCGGCAAACAGCACACATGGCTCAGGAAGGACTCCACATTACCTTCTCTAGCCAGGCTGGGAGCTGTGACCATGGCTCAAAAGCTAGCAGGAACAGGCGACACACTGGGTCTGTCGCAGAGGCAGGCAGGACCACTCCCTGTGAGGGCACTGAAGGTCAACTCACGACCTCACTACTTAGAAATTAGGCAACACTGCAGGATTAAGGGGAAGGGACATGGGACAGATGCATGCAGCCACCACACAGAGTAAAGAAGCACCTGTTCATCTCCACCTGGGCAGGAAGAAGCAGGGCAGTGGCCTCCACCATGAACTGCATCCAGTCAGACCAAGCACAGGTGCCTCAGGCCTGACCACCTTCACCCTCACACCACAGCCCATCCCCACAAGCCACCAGATGCACTCCAGGCTGCAAGTCACATCAGCAGCCATAGTAAAATTTCCAGAATTTCCTGTCCTGTCTCAGATGGACTCCTGCTATGGTGTCAGAACGATTTCTCCCTGGTAAACCCTCCGAGGTACTGCCAATTTGGAGAGTATTCAGAAGAAACTGCTTGGACAGATGATGTTAATGCAGCTCTGTCCCTGCCCCGTGGGGTGCCCAGCATCACCCCAAGGAAGCAGCAGTGGTCACATCTCGTTGGCATGGTGCTGCTGGATGAGAACTCTGTCAGGGTGTTCCACCCACTCCTGACCCTTGGCTTTCCATGGCATCAGCACCGCTGCCGGCAAGGAGTCGCTCCGGGGCGTTCCCAGCTCGGAGCCTGTTGGTGCCGGGGGGTCAGAGGATGAGTTGCTGTTGAAAGGTATGGGATCGGGGTCAAGTGGACTCTGCCCCTCTTCCCATGACTGATTGAGATTGCCCAACAGTGAGGAGTCCCCAGGCTCTAGGCTGAAGCCCTCCAGTTCAGCATCCTGCTGCACATCGGGTGCTCCCTGGTTCGGGAACTCGCGGATTTGCCGTGACAGCACTGTAAGAGAGGTAGAGCCAGCTCTGTCATTTCCAGCCTCCAAGCCTCCAGCTCCAAGCACAGAGGCACCACAGGAGCGAGGACAAACTGTTCAACTAGGGCTTCCTCCTCCCAGGGGAGGCAGGGAGAGGATGCTGCACAGCTGCCAGGCACAAGCACAGCTTGTGCTCCAAGAGGGACCAGATCTCTCCAGTCCTTGCACCGCCCCTGGCCCAGGGCCCTACTCCCAGGCAGCCCTCTGCAACAAGGCTGAGATAAGAGTCCACAGCTTGGGCGAGACAGCAAAGCCAAACCTAGTGGCCGCCCCAGGCAAGGGGCTGCTGAGTTGGAGGTGCCTCAGAGTTCAGGCCGTCTCTGAGGAAGGTGCTGTGATCTGCAGGGCAGTGCCACACCTGAACCCACACCTCAGCCCCCATCTGGGCACTCACCTTTGGGTTCTAGCTGTGGCTCTACGCTCCCAGGTGAGCGGATACTGGGGG